TTTATAAATTGGACACAAATTGTACCACAAGGTTTAAGATAAAATAGAGCAGTACCTCACCCCATATCTCCCTACACTGAGTCTTGCCTTCCAGAGGTAAAAATGTTTAATATTTTCTAGATGTTTATTCCTGTATTTACCTGAAGATACTGAAATGATAGCCCCTTATATTCCTCCTAATACTGAACATGTGGGAAAAAAGAAGTATGACATGAAGTACTTGGGAAAGAAATAGTATTCAAGTCTTCCCTTCCCTCTACTCATATATGGATACATATCTCATTCCAGAAGGAAGAAACTCGTGGCAAAAATCTCAGAAAGAATAAGTAGTCACGTGCCAAGCCAGGGCTCTGGACAGTAATATCATCATCTCCCATCTTTTATAGTTGGCTCTTTGGGCACTTCTGATGAGATGCAGTGGCTCCAGAAGACGCAGAAACACTTACTGTAAAGGCATGCCTCACTACTAATCTCAACGTATTCTTATTCACAGGTCTTTTTTAGCATTATCCAAATTCAGTCAGTTTGCCTTGGTGCTGGCAGTCTTTGGGTAACAGAGTTCGGTCTTAGGCTCCACCAAAACAATCCTTTTCTCATTTTAGTACATTGGTTCATAAACTTCACTGCACATCAGAACAATCTAGGGAGCTTCATAAAAATGCAGCTTTCTGGGACTTGCCTGCACAGACTGCAGTTCATCGGGTCTGTAGAGAAGACTGAGGAGTCTGATTTTATAGCATACTTAAGGCGATTCCGATACTGGGGGATCTAGAACACTCTTTGCAAAAATGGATCTAGCATCTCATAGAGTAAACTGAAAAAATATTCACATAAAATGAATATATATATATGCCCATGTATCTTATATCCATTTACATAAGACTTATAAATACCTAATATTATTGATGTAGTACTTTCATTTGTACATGAGGCATTTGTTGGCAGACGTTCTTAGTAATCCAGTAGTTTTTAACCATGGTGGCATGATGCAATGGTGTGTTACAATCAAGTTTTGGGCGTACGGAAAACATTTGTTGTTAATGACATTTCAAGTCAGCTGGTTTTAACAAATAAATTAGGGTGATTACAGGTTATCCATATAATAATGGCATTTTCATAAATTTTCACATGCTTTACCCAATAGAAGAGGAAGAAGTTGAGCCAGAGCCATAGTGCTTCAAGAATAGCACAATATACTTTGAGGGCCCTGGCTGGTCACTGCTATTTCTAACTGTATCTTTAGGAGCAATGTAATGATGAATTGTATTGATTTACTTCCACAGAAATATTATATTTTGTTTTCACAAAAATCTGTGTCAAGTATGAATGTTAGTCATACATGTCAATGTCATTGGTTATATGTTAACTTTTACTGATGTGGAGAAGAATAAGAAATGTAGCATAGGAGTTGTAGGCATTTTGAAACTGTTGAAATTCACTGCTTAACAAAGTAATACCAATAATAAAATACAAAACCGTGGCTTTCAAATTCTCATATCTAAAATAGAGCACATAGGATATGGATGGCATCATTTTTTTTTTTCAACAGAGGGGAGGGATATGTGCAAACAATATTTGGTTTACAGTCTCCTTAAGTAATCAATAAGACAATGGATTTTCTTTTCCACTCTCAGCCTAAAAGTCTTGATTTGATCTATCTCTAACCAACCAATTTGTTGTTTACCAACCAAGAGTACCAAAAGTACTCTTGCCCCACGAAATTTATACCTTTAAATAAAACACACAAATTTCACAAAAACTGAAATAGGGCAGACTTGTTTTTCTTAAAGGTCCAACAAACTCTAGGATCTCTCCCCCACCTAACCCCAAATGTCACCATCAGACCTTTGGAACAGTTCCTGTATTTGTGCTCAGAGATAGGGTACTGCTTTTCTGACGATCCTTAAATTATGAGTGATATTTTTTTCTATTACACATCACGTGTTCATCTCTTTTTGTAGAGCCTGATTGTCTTCTGAGTTCTCTTTTGTCTCACATTTCTGTTTATATCCTCTGTCAGAGAATCTATGTGAAATTCCTCCTGAGTGTTCTCCAAACCCTTCCCCAATCCTGCTTCTTGAAAGACAATTGGAAAAATGAACAATAACCAGCAACAAATCCTAAAGATCTTTGGAAGCCTGGGCAAAGGATAGTTCAGGAAAAAGAAAAGAGGCTTCAAATGCTTTGAGGTCATTAACAAAGTTGTGAAATTTGTGAGGAACATGGGAGGAAAAAAAGTCTTTTTATTATTTGCTAACATTCACAGGCTCTAATTTTTCATTTCCCTAGTTGAGCTTTAACTTAATTATAAAACAAAATCTATAGCAGCAGCCAGGCCTAGGGGTAGAGTCTGTACAACTAATCAACTTTAATTCCCTGGGTTCGATTTAATTACAAAACAACATTTGGTGCAGCTGCTAAACACTTACCAGGTGACCACATGATAATACTGCAGTAGTATTTACAAGTCTCCAGCTTTTGTTCTATTCTACCAGCCCAATAGGTTTCAGCTATATATAAATTTGAGCAGCCTTGAGGATTTACAATAGTAAAGAATTGTCCTGATTTTATACCCCTCTGTAGTTGAGCCAGTTAAAATATTGAGTTGCACCACAACAAATTCATGACAGGAAATAAAATTTAATGATGAAAGATGTCCTGATAAAGGACAATAATAACAAACTGAATATCAAGAGCATACTTCTTTTCCTTAATTCATTCTTCTGGGAGATAGGCAAAGTGAAACCAACTTATGTATACTGGGAGTTGCCAATGTGCATTTTAGGTTATAACATACATTACTTTTCAATATAACTAGACATACATAACTCATTCTCCTGCTTGTTTTTTAGTGTTTTAGTGTTCCATAAGGTATTTTAGGGGGTGATTACTTGTGTTACAAAATATTTTTTACCTGACACAATAAAAATTTACCACTGATATTTTTAAGATAGTTTCTCTCGTATATTTAAAATATACTGGATTTGTACTAACATCAAGAAGATCACTGAAATAAGTGAGATCTGATTTTTCATTTAATAATATTTAGGCGGAAGTTCCATGCACAAGGAACTTTTTATCTTAGTGTTTTTTGTCATCTTAGTTCACTCATATACAACTTATATAGTGTGTGGGATCCCAGTTCCTCCCAAGGTCTATAGAAGGATAAGGAAACTTATTTGAATTTAGGAAAAAAATTAGTAAGAAGTATCAGTAAGGGAGTACCAGTGATGCTGAAATAAATATGACTCATTATTTTCACAGCAACTCAGAAAGAAGATAAAATAGATTGCCATCTAATCCAAATAAAGATTTGAAGTAGATGTATAAATGCTATTCTTTTGCTTGTTTTCCCCATTAGATGTCAATCTTCTTTTCTTTCCCTTTAGAGTAGAATGGGGTAAAAGCTAAAGAGAGATGTATCATAGGTAATTACATCTATGAAAAGCAGAAAATCTTAGAAAAAAGCCAGAATTCATAAAATTCATCATAAAATATCTGGAGCAATAATCCCCTTTTTCACCTTTCAACCTCAAGTGCTGGTCTGGATTTTACCTAATGCTGCCCTGCACGATGATGTTGGTTCCTGGACAAAGACAACACTGTACGTTTCAAAGTCGAAAGGCTAATTTCTCAGTACTAGCAGTGTCTGTCAGTGTCTGACCCCAGAGAGTATCTTTCTCTACTGAACAGTGACTGAGTCACAGGAGGAAACAATCCTGCTTGCTGGAAGAAAATAGGATGGAGGAGTTATGACGGTTACCAGATGTTCCACTGCCCCTGAGGGGGAACCAGAATGTTTCTGCATATGCTGTAAGCAGCTTAAACTGTCAAATCAGGGGATCCTGGGGCTTGGTGCTCATGCTACTCTGACGTGCGGAGTCATAGCATTCGAGAGTTGGAAGGACCCTTAGAGATGATCTTAGTCAAAGGTTTTAAACTATGTCACGAGGAGTTCTATGTTTCCTAAGAATGACTCAGAGATTACTGAAGAGTAAGGGGATCTCCCCAAAATAGTAACAGCTCTCAAGGAAAGAGTGTAAAAATCTTACATCAGGGTAACAACAAGACAGGATATTTTATCAAACAAAAATCAGTTGTGAAAATCTAAGGTAATTCTTATGGTTTAGGAAAGGATCCTTGTGAAAAATCACCATCCCAGTAGCTCTATGACACTCCTTGTGGGGTGGGGGGTGCGGCATGCAGAAGTTGGAGGTTGATTCAGGAATCTAGGCCACAATAGGCCATGTGGCTTGGGAGTCTGGAAATTAAATTATATCCCTAAGACACAATATCAGGGCAGGAAATTAAGGCCTCTCGATTCAAGTCAACCAATTCTTACAATCCTTCTTTATTTAAATATCTATGGCAAGTTAAAAATGCCCACTTAGAAAATGTTACCTTTCCAGGCTATTTTTTTTCTTTTAGGTAGGTTCCATGCCCAGCATGGAGCCCAACACAGGGCTTGAATTCAGGACCCTGAGATCAAGACCTGAGCTGAGATCGATCAAGAGTTGGATGCTCAACTAACTGAGTCATCCAGGTGCCCCACTATGTTATTTTAAATGGCAATGGCAATTTAATACTGTATTGCCTTGATGATGATTTAATTCTTACTCTATGTTACCTGCTTTCAAATTAAAAAGTACCCTCTGATTGTTCAAAGAACCTCCTCATTGCCACAATTGGAGAGAGAGAGAGAGATTGAGAGATTGAGAAAAAGGGGGTAAGAAAAGAAAAAGAAAAAAAAAAGAAGTAAGGAAGGAAAGAAGAAAGGAGGAGAAGAAAGAAAGAAGAAGGGAAAGAGATGGGAAGAAGGGAGAGAGGGAAAGAAAAAAGGAAGAAGGAAGGAAGGAAGAAAGGAAGAAGAAGCTATTTCTGTGTTTGTACATGGAACTCATTTTGATGAAGGGACACAAGACTTTATCATAAGCTAAGGCATATCTCCAGGGTTAAATAGACATTCATAACAGCAGGGTAGATGCACCTGCCTGACTCACCATCACTGTTGATGCACACAACCTCCTGAACTTGAGTGCCTGGGCCACACTCTTTTCCATTGTCTGGTTCACAGTCTCCAAGCCTCACTGCTTTCCATTCATAGCAGGATGGCTCTTCACAGGGAATGGCTTCCAGTAAGTGAGGGCAGTTTCCAGGGCCCCCAGAGCCTCCAGTGGGCTCATTGGTAATGCGCCGCTTCCTCAGTTTGAAACCTGAATTATTGGGGAAGGACATATTTATTGTTACTGCCATGGGTTGAATATTTCCAAAGGCTGAATGAAAACTTGAGTGAAAGCTGGATGAGGGTAGAGGGTAGAAGTCAGATTTGCTTTAATCACTAGTATATCCCCAAGCTCTAGCTTAGTGTGAGCCTATTAATCATTTATTAAATGAATAAATGAATGAATGAACAGAATGGCCAAGAAGGGAAGGCAAGAAAAGTCATATGTCTCTTATCTCCTTCATAGGACTGGAGAGAGGTAGAGAGGCAGAAGCAGAGAGAGAAAGACAGACAAAGACACACACATAAAATGATTTTGGTTGATTTGGAAAGTCTGTAGTTATAAAATATTCAAAGACACAGTGAAATCTCAAGCTATTTGGAAATATTCATGACCAGACAAAGTGGTATTACTTTGAATTTTTCAGCACTATCACATAATTAAATTTGAAAGGAAACCTCTGAGAAGTTGGATGGTCCCAGATAAATTGTCTCTTTGAGGCTTAGTTGATTTTAGATGCCCCGGAAATATGAACTAGTGAAGATATAAAGCATCTGGGCTCTAATGAGGACTCTTCAGAGTCATGCTCTGAGCTTTAATAGCACCTAAGTGCTGCCCTTCTGGACAGGGTATACCAAAGTTAATAAGTCTGCTTATTGCTTTGTGAACATATTAGAATCACTAGCAAAATTAATAAGTCTATTTACTGCTATGTGAACATATTAGAATCACTAGAAGACTGTCTTAGAAAGAAAATAAATGTTTCTAATTACTAGATCATGTTTCTAATTACTAGATCATATTACCCCATCATGCCCACTACATAGGAAACCACTGCATCTATTGTCCTCCTCTTAGATATATCATGTGCATCATAAGAGTAATAGAGCTTTTTTTTTTTTCCCCTTTCTTAACTTCAAAGTAATAGGAGTTTTTTTTTGCTTTTTGAGGACTAGCTATGGATCAGGCACTGAATTAAGTGCTTTATGCTTATTATCTCATTGAATCTTTAGAGAAAACTTTAGTAGCAGATATTACATCCCTTTTACAGATAAGGGGACAAAGATTTAGATAATTAACTTGTTTTAATGTTCAGGTACCAACATCAGAGTAGGTTTATTCATCTTTTGCAGTCGATACTCACTAGCCATTCTGGAAAATATCACGGATGAATGAATAAGCACAAGTAACAAAGACTAACAAATAAAAGTATTTGGCACACTAATGACATTATTTAAAATAATTCATGTTTGACTCAACTGATGGGAGTTTTAAGCATGTCATGTTAATAATACATACCTTTTTTGCCTTGCTGGTCATTACAGTTTTCATAAGTACAAGGTCCCCAAGCTGACCAAGGTGAAACCTCACATTCAGTTGGACAGGGAATATGGCACAGCTGTGTAGTATTAGGGACGGGACCAGTGCATGATTTCAAGTCCACTGGTTTTGAGGCTGTTTGGAGAAAAGTACAGAAATCCCTTAAGAATTAAACAAATTGTTATGGTCAACAATACGATTTTTCTGTGTGTACGAGAAGGACAAGTGCCACCAAGACATTATTCCACTGCTTCTTAGCTACATCCTAGAAAAAAAGGAGAGGGAGTGGGGAAAAAGCAGCAGAGTGTAGTTCAAGGAAACCGGACTGAGATTCAAGGAAATCTCAGAGACTGATCACCAGCTTTATCACTTATTAGCCCGGTGATTTAATAATGCCGAGTCTAACTTTCCTAATTAGTAAAACAATCCTTAAGGTCAGTTTTATCTCTACAATTCTATATTTAGATTCGAAATAAATGGAATCTGCTTCAGAGGACTGAACACAGTGGTAGAGGGTCTACAGCTATATAGCATATGGAAAAAGTCTGCACTGGGTGGCTTCGGGTGGAGCAGTCTTCTCTTTCCTTTTGGTCCACAAAAGGGTAAGTGGTGGATATAATGAAGAGCCCATGCCACCAATGGGGTATCTCTCTCTACCCCAGCTACATGACTCACCAGATAGTTTCTAGAACTTTTACAGAATATATTATCTGCATATGTGATCTAAATCTCAGAATTGCTAAGGCGACTAATTTAGAATTGTCCATGTCTGTTCATATGTTGACCAATGAACTGTGAATAAATACTGTTTGCCCTTGCTTCCCTTCTTTTTTGATGCCTGAAATTCGGCTATTTTGTAGGGGACACACATTTGACACTTAATGTCAAGATGTGTCCATAGTTCTGGCTAAAAATGACTAAGAGATATTAGAAGCTATATGGAAAGCAGAAGAAATTCAAGTTTAGTGGTATATTATAAAATATAAAGCTATAGTTGTTTTTCTTGTAAAGATTTTGAGAAGTAAATGTCTTTGACATTACCTTAAATAAAAGCTAGTTGCTATTTCCATCTGATAATTTGGAATGCCCACCCTTGTAATAAAGGACTGAAATAATAGAGGTCTTAGATAATTCTCATTCTCTTTATGTGAAGAACTATCAAATTCCAATCACATGGGTTACATTTAGAAGCTCACAGAGAAATTAAGATATTTTAAGCTAAATTATCCGAACTTTTAAATAAATGTACTAAATATATTTGTTTACAGTTTAAACTCTAAGGCAAACTGTAGGTACTGTGCATCCCTCAACTTTCTGCGTGCACACACAATCATAAATGCTACCTGAACGCTGTTACATTAACTCCTCTTTCGAAAATAGTTTTTCAGTTCTGAAAAATATTCTACAGATTTTTTTTTTCTTTTTCTCCTAGGAGTACATAACTTAATCTCTCTCCTCTCCCCTCTCACTCCCGCCTACCCTGCCCACCACCACTGCAGTGAAAATAAATGGGCACTCTTAGTTTGCTTAGTATGGAGCACCATAAGCATTCTCACTTAAGTTTATCGAATTGTTGCTATTGCGCATCGTAACATCAGCCACAGCGCAAAATGATTACTTTTGTTGCTTTCAACAGTGAAAGTATTTGGCACACTAATGACAGAAAATACAGAAATAAATGCTTCACTTCTTTAAATATAAAAAAATAATGATGTCAGTGATACATATTTCACATAAAATGAAAACAATTTTTAATATCTTTACAGGCTTAAGAGTCTTGTGATGGTTAATTTTATATGTCAACTTGTCTGGGCTAAGGGATGCCCACATAGCTGCTAAAATGTTTCTAGGTCTGTCTGTGAGGATGCTTCTGGAAGAGATTAGCATTTGAATCAGTAGATTAAGAAGACAGCCTTCACCAGTGTGGATGGGGCACTATCTTATCCTTTGAGAACCCAGGTAGAAATAAAAAGTGGACGAAGGGTAAAATCTCTTTTTGAGCTATGGAATCCATCTTCTCCCTGCTCTTAGATATTAGAGCTCCTGGTTCTGGAAAACCAGGAATTACACCAGTGACCCCATTCCCATAATTCTGTGAGCCAGTTCCTATAATAAATCTCCTCTTACATGATCTATACATATATCCTATTCGTCTGTTTCTCTGGAGAACCTTGACCAATGTAAGGCTACAGTATGTAGAAAAACTCCTATAACTGCAAATTAACATAAGTAATTTCTTCACCTGTGGAGTCTTTCACACTATCATTTAAATTAACAATTGTGTGTATTATTACCTGAAAAGTCTCCATTTTTTTTCTTATAATAGACTAAAATTAACTTAAAATTTAGTGGTGTTACATTGTTTTGGAAATTATGGTTACTACAAAGGAAAATCTACTTCTTACAAAGTCTACCTTGACCATGCAATTGTGAGGAATATATAAGGTTGAAAACTTTAGGAGGGAAACAGGTTTTATCAAGGAAACAGGTTAAAACATTGTTTCTAATACCTGGTCATTTTTTTTAAAATAAGCTTAATTTTAGCTTTTGGCATATTTTGAATGAATCAAATAGAATATTCAGTCATAAGAATCTTCTTGAGCTATTAAAAGAGAAATGTGATGAATAAAGGCTTGAGAAAATATTGCCTGAAGCAAAATACTGCTAAGCTAACCAAGTCTATACTGAGATAATAGTTATTGAAAAATAACCTCAATTTTATAGATGTCTTTATATAAATAAATATATAATTGAATATATTTGTTGTGTATGATCTATTCCTTTGGTGATTTTCACTTTAGTTTTGTTGTTGTTGTTTGTAAATACAGTATATATTGATTGATGTAAATAACCGATACTAGCTGAGCTCCTCAAAAACTCTGTCAATTCTATTTTTGCCCATGAATTATATGGAATCACTGTGATTCAATAAATGAAATAAAGGATAGTTCCAGAAGAATTTACTGGATTCTAGTTCAATCTGTGAGATATAAGTCCTGTAGTGCTATATTCCATAACGCAGCATTTACTGCTGATCCCATATTCTCAAATATTGAGATTTGAATTTCTTAGAATGGTCCAGTCATTACTTTGGTATAATTATATCACTTAAGAAATTATTCATCCAGTACAAGTTTCACAGAACTTCTGTTAAACTTTTTTTAAAGTTTTATTGTTGATCTCTTGAAAATAAAGGGCACATTTTATTGTTTGCGTATGATTTAAACAGTATACAATTATTTGTACATTGCATTCTTTATGAGGTCATAAAAGAATGTCCAAACTTTTCTGGACTTAATAAAACAAACAAACAAAAAATGAGACTGGTACATTTTTGTAGGTCTGAAATATTTCTGTATTTTTATGCTTAGAGCATTACAATGGGAAAAAATATTATAGGAAGTAAACTTCAGATATTTGTTTCCAGCAATGTGCTCAGGGAGATATTCTGAAGATATACCCACTGTATAACCCCTCAGAATAGCAATATATGATTTTTAAAATTAAATGTTTCATTCTGAGATAATTATAGATTCTCATGACATTGTAACTTCACAGAGATCCTATGTATCCTTTACCCAGTTTCCGCCAATGGTCAGATCTTACAAACTTATAATGTCACAACCAGAATACTGACATTGAAACAACCAGGGTACATGTATTAGGTTGAACAGTGTCTCCCCGTGCCTCCCTCCCGCCTCAAATTCAGTCTACTAGAATTTCACAATATGACCTATTTGGAAATAAGATTGTTGCAAATGTATTTAGTTGGTGGGGTCCCATTGGATTAGAATGAGCTTTAAATCCAGTGACGGGTGTCCTTATAAGAAGGCCATGTGAAGACATACAGAGAAGAAAGCCATGAGATATTGGAGCAATGCAGCCACTTTGTTACTAATCTTAGGGAAAGAATAGTTCAGTCTTGCACTACTAAGTACAATGTTAGCTATACATTTTTGTAGATGCCTTTTATCAAATTGAGGATGTTTCTCTTTATTCCTATTTTTCTGAGGGTTTTTATTAGCAATGGGTGTTGAATTTTGTCAAACGCTTTTTCTCCATTGACTAATATTATCGTGTGATTTTTTTTTAGCCTATAAATATGGTGAATTTTTGTTGTACTTTTTGTTGTACTGTCTTTGTCCCCTCTTCTATTTTCTGGATAAAACTAATCTATTTCATATTGAGTAAATTACAGTAGGTTGTGTTTTTCCACTTTGATTTTTTGATTCCTTCCATTTAGTCTACATTGTCAAATTTATGTGTATAAAGTTGTGGTGTTCCCTTGTTATTCTTTTGCTGGCTGTAAGGTCTACAGTGATATCCCCTGTTAAACTGACATTCCCTGATGTTAGTGATTTGTGTCTTTTCTCTTTTTACTTTATCAGCCTTGCTAGAAGCTTCAATTTTAATGGTCTGTTCAAAGAATCAGCTCTATGTTTCATTGATTTTCTCTATTGTTTTTCTGTTTTCAATTTCATTGATTTCTGTCCTTATTTTTATTATTTCCTTCCTTCTGCTGGCTTTCATCTTCTTTTGCTTTTTCCTTGGTTCTTGAACTGGGAGTGCAGATTATATTGATTTCTGTCTTAACCTCTTTTCTAATGTAAGCATTTAGTGTTAAGAATTTCCACCTCAGCACTGCTTTAGCTACATTACACAGATTTGGTATATTTTCATTTTCATTCAGTTCAAAGTATTTTGATTTTCCTTGAGAATTCCTTCTTCCACACATGGATTATTTAAAAGTGTATCCTCTATTTTCTAAGTGTTTGACGATTTTACTGTTATCTTTCTGTGACAGAATTCTAATTTGATTCCAATTGTGCTCAGAGGACACACTCTGTATGATTTAAATTCTTTTAAATTTGTTGAGGTTTGTTTTATGAATCAGAATATGGTCTATCTTATTAATAGAAGACGTATCCTATCCCTGTTGGATGGACTGCTCTATAAATGCCTACTAGATTGTGCTGAATGAGATGGTGTTCATTTCTTCTAAATCCTTGTTGATTTTCGGTCTAGTTGTTTTATTAAGTGTTGGGAGTAGAATGTTGTCATCTCTGACTTTAATTGTGAATTTGTGTATTTTTCCTTTTCGTTCCATCAGTTTTTGTTCACATATTTTACAGTAT